TACTTTTCTTGGACAGAGCATTTTGTCAAAGGCTACATTAAACTTCTAAGCAATGTAACTAGCAATAGTACAGACCACCGAAAGGAACACCAAGACCACATCCGCCTTCGTATAGGCCCGCGCCATACAAGTTCCAGTAGCCAATGGGGTATGCCCAGCCGAGAATTCCACCGCACATGAATCTGAACCGGGAAGGTCCAAAGCCACCCCACCCACCAAAGTTGCCCCAGCCACCAAGACCCATTTTAGCGGCTCTTTCTTATCATTTTTGGCATAACTGTCGCAGACTTTGTTCTCTTGTGTATCTTTCTTGATGCTGACATGGACGCCGTACGGATTTCATGCTCTAAACTTTCTTTGTTTCAATATCTGCTCTGCGCTATCTAAAATAGTAATGTAACTTTGCTACTTGTGACTTTCTCTGTTTTTTGTATTGCGTATATAAATATTACTTCATCACTCTGCGATGAACAGATTGCATAATATGAATCATCACGTTCACCCCAATCACTTTTCAATAAAAGTAACATCATCAATCGAGCCGTGTCGACTATTGAGGTGTTGTAACGCCACGTTACAGATTGTTTACGGCGATCAATTGCAACTTGTAGGTTGAAATGAAACCTTCCTGAAGATCAAAATTGCAAGGTTAAGAAAATGCGTTAGTTATTAGGTACATTGAGGGTTCTGGTAGCCAAATTTACTTTCCATTCTGACCCGAGAGTAATAAGACATCGTTAAAGGTTATGAGCTCAAACGCTTCCAAGCCCAACGGGATACTGACGGACGACAACAACTACCTGTGGGAGGTTAACGCCCGGATTGCGCTGGCCAGAAAGGGGCTATAAGGCTACCTCAAATCCGTGAAAGCAGAAGAAGCAGCGCGCCGTGAGACGAAGGAGTGACAGGCCACCGACCTGAAGACACTGGCTTTGTGGTCCAAGTTCTAAGTACGACCTACCAGTCGATGATTCGTGACGCGGGTTCTGCGTCTGACGCATGAAAAACATTGCGTGCTTTTTTCGTGAAGCAGACACTTTATAACCGTACGCAATTGACTGCTGGAGGCGAGGTCGTGTCTGAGGACGAGAAAGTGGTCTTTTAACTTGGAAGTTTACCCCCAGGAGTATGATGCATGATAAGCATCATCGAGGCCCACTAGATGATGACATTGCTGGACGCAAAAGTGATGCTACGCCGTGAGTTCGAGTTGGCTAAGAAGAGAAAGAGCAAAATTCAAGGCCTAATGCGCGAGGAAGGTGATCAAGGTGGTCGTGAAAAAGGGCTTAGAGGCTGACTTGGTGATCGAGGTGCCCATGGTGCCCGTGGTGCCCGTGGAGGCTACAATGGTGATCGTGGACAGCATTCGAAGAAAAATACTGGGCCAATATTTCGTGAGTACTGCATTTCTTGCAATGAGTACGGTCATAAGCATGACGACTGTCCTGAGTTGAAGAAATTGAATAATGAATTTGTTTTCGCGGCCACGATGGAGGGTTCAGCACGAGAGGTAACCTGGGTGCTTGCTAGTGGAGCGAGCTGCCATATGACGGATGAGACGATGGACTTTGTGGAATATCAAGACCTAAAGATCTAATCATCATCACCGTGGCTAGTGAACAGCAATGGCTAGCTAATGAAAAAGGAGTTGTGCGTTTTGTTGTTAAATTTGCGCAATCGATCAAGTTGACGGAGGTTTTGCATGTGGCCAAACTTGATAGGAAGCTCGTTTCCATTTCGGCGTTGACGGGACGCGGCGTTGTGTGCAGATTTATCGTGATCGAGCGCGGAAAGTGGTGAATGGAAAAGCGCTAGACGTGAATCATCGAAACGGCAAGCTATTATGTGACATTTTTACCAGCTGAAGGGAGAACAATCCGCCTAGGCAGATGCTATAACGCGTGGAGATAGAACGCTATGGCGCGACCGGTTGGGCCAATTTCCGCATCGAATATGGAAGCTGCTGCAACGATTTGTGATGGACTGCCTGGGATTCAACATGAAGAAGACGACGTGATAGCTTATCGTGGTGGTTGTGCTCACGGCAAGATGACAGCGAGTCCGTTCGCATGTAGTCCCGGCAGTGAAGTCAGGCCTAGAGGCTCTCCGAAAGTCGTATTTACTGATGTCATGGGTCCAATAAAGCCCAGATCGGACTTGTATGTGCTCATTTTCATCGTCAATTTCAGTAGATACGTCTACGTGTATCTGCTTCTTTCGAGAGCACAAGTTTTTGGTCGTTTTCGCGAGTTCGAGGTCCTCGCAGAAAATTTAATTGGCTACAGAATCCAGTAAGTTTGAAGTGATAACCGTAAAGAGTACCCCACTGCAAATTTCAATCGGTTTTGTGCCACGAACGGCATCCTACATCAAACAAGTGCTCCGTATTCTCCGCAACAGAGTGGATTGGCGGAGAAAATGAATCTCTCGTATAC